CTATATTAAGCTGGAGGTAATACTTGAGAATCCACTAAGAATATTTAATATAGAACTCGAGATTCTGGATATCAACGACAACGCCCCGCAATTTCGAAGAGATGCAATACATTTAGATATATCTGAAGCAACGCCCGTTGGAGAGAGATTCTCTTTGAGTAATGCAGCTGATCCTGATATTGGAACTAATTCAGTGAAAACGTACCATCTGAGTGAAAGTGAACATTTTAACATTGAAGTGCAGACGGGAAGAGATGGGTCAAAATTTGCCGATTTGATCTTGACTAAGAGTTTAGATAGGGAGGTACAAGCTGTTCATAATTTAATACTGACAGCCGTAGATGGAGGTAGGCCTGCTCGTTCTGGTACTGCAAGTGTAATTGTTCATGTTTCAGACACTAATGACAACGCTCCTACGTTTGACAAAGTCAGTTATGATATAAATATATTGGAAAATTCTCCAATAGGAAGCCTTGTTATTCATCTTAATGCAACAGACTTAGACGAGGGGTCAAATTCTGACATAACATACTCATACAGTTTATATACATCAGAGAAAACACAAGAAACATTTCATCTGAATCCTTCCACTGGTGAAATTACTGTTAAAGGAATGTTAAATTATGAAGATTTTAAGATTTATGATATGGAAATTATAGCAACAGATAAAGGAGCCAATAGTTTATCAGGACAATGTACCATAAAGATTCTGGTTGAAGACATGAACGACAACCACCCAGAAATATCTATTAAATCATTTCAGAGTCCAGTCAATGAAAACATAGAATTAGACACAGTGATAGCAGTAGTTAGTGTCAGTGACAAAGACTCAGGAGACAATGGAGTTGTTGATCTTCATATTCCAGATAATATACCTTTCAAACTGAGGGAATCCTCTGATAACTATTATGAATTAATAGTGTCAGAGCCTTTAGACCGTGAGAAGGTTCCTGAATATGACATCACGTTCACTGTTACAGACAGAGGTTCTCCTCCTTTATCTGACAATGAAACTATGACGTTAGAACTGCTGGATGTTAATGACAATGTTCCACAGTTCCCTCTGTCATTTTATACTATACGTGTAATGGAGAATAACGCACCTGGGGCCTTGCTCAGTTCCCTCACTGCCTTTGACCCTGACCTCCATGAAAACCAGTATCTAGTTTATTTCATCCTGGAGAAGGAGATAGCCAACACCTCCATGTCCATGCTGTTCTCCATCAATCCAGAGAACGGTAATCTTTACGCACTGAAAACTTTTGACTATGAGATCGAGAAGGAGTTCCTTTTCCACATCGAGGCCAGAGACTCTGGCTCTCCTCCACTCAGCAGTAACGTGACGGTCCACATCATCATAGTGGACCAGAACGACAACGCTCCGGTTATTGTCTCTCCGTGGCGCGCCCACGGCTCTGTGGTGGAGGAAAAGATCCCCAGATCCACAGATAAAGGCTCTCTGGTTTCCAAGGTGATAGCCTTAGACACCGACTCGGTGCACAACTCTCGGATTACCTACCAGTTTCTCCAGGTGACTGATGCCACCTTGTTCAGTCTGGACCAATACAACGGAGAGATCCGGACTATGAGGATGTTCAGTTACAGAGATCCGCGCCACCAGCGACTGGTTGTTATTGCCAAGGACAACGGGGACCCTGCTCTCTCTGCTACAGTCACCATCAAGCTGTCCACAGTGGAGACTGTTGTTAAGGCCTACTCTGACATGACTGAGGTGCCTCTAGAATACGACATCTTTTCAGACCTGAACCTGTATTTGGTCATCGGTCTGGGCTCGGTGTCATTTCTCCTGCTGATCACCATATTGGTCACCATCGTGCTCAAGTGTCAGAAACCTAAACCCAGCAAAGCGGCTCCTCCCTGCAGGAACAGTGTGATCAGTGAGAGGAACTCCACCATCGCAGACTCCACTCTGGTCTCCAACGATGCCTACTGGTACAGTCTGTTTCTAGCAGAGACCAGGAAAGGAAAGCTGGTGGTTAGACAGCCTGTGCCAAAGGGCTCCAGATACATTGTGTCCAGTATACCAAGAGGCACAGGACTGACAGACACTAGTGACTCAGCAGCTTCCACTCTGCAGGTAAGAATCCAGTGTACACATTTGTTTTTCTATTGATCAAATTATGCTACGTAATTGCCCCACTATACCATAACTTTAGTCAAATAAATCGATCAACTACATTAAGTAAAGGAATTTCTGCCGCGGCTTAATCTTAAACTAATTTCTTACTTGTGAACACCTGGGTGTTTTTAGCTACTATATCATAGTTGTGAGATCTGGTAATATGCAAAGAGTGGCGCTGTTTACTCGGAAAAAATCCCAAACCATGAACGCCATGACAGTGAATCTCAGTCGGTGAGGCATACATTGAAACAAACGGACAGCTCCGTGGTGCTGAAACTGGAACCAGTGTCAAGCAGCGCTGCTTAGCTGATAATTTCAACGGAATCTTTTGCGGGTTTAAATTGCACAAAAATCTTTTGATCGAGGTCGAAACAGCCATTTCCCACGAGCGGAAACATGTATTTTATCGGCTGAAGCAGTTCTAACGTTGTACCGGCGCAACACAATGTGGTCCTTTTTAACAATGCAGTCCTACAAAAGGTACGTGCTGCTCGTTATTATTTTTTCTTTCGTTGGTAACATATCATCTTCAGTGACTCATTACTCAATACCGGAGGAAATGAAAGAAGGATCAGTTGTAGCAAACCTTGCTACCGATCTCAGCTTGGATGTTAAAACACTGAATCAGAGGAAGATGCGTCTGGACATCATTGCAAATAAGAAATATCTGGATGTGAACAAAGAGACTGGCGAGCTTTATATTGTTGAGAAGATTGACAGAGAATACCTTTGCAACACAAAATCATCTTGCTATCTAAAAATGGAAGTGATACTAGAAAATCCAGTGCGAATTTTTAACATAGAAGTAGAAATTTTGGATATGAACGACAACGCCCCGCAGTTTCGAAGAGACGTCATACATTTAGATATATCTGAAGTCGACACCAAAAGGGAGAGAGATTCTCTCAGCAATGCAGTTGATCCTGATGTTGGAACTAATTCAGTGAAAACGTACCATCTGAGTGAAAGTGAACATTTTAATATTGAAGTTCAGACTGGAAGAGATGGGTCAAAATTTGCCGAATTTATCTTAAAAAAGAGTTTAGATCGAGAGCAGCAGTCAATTCATAATTTAATACTGACAGCTGCAGATGGAGGCACACCTGCTCGTTCTGGCACTGCGAGTGTAATTGTTCGTGTTTTGGACACAAATGATAATGCACCTGCATTTGACCAAGTGAGTTATACAGTATAAAAATAATGGAAAATTCTCCAATAGGAAGCCTTGTTATTCAACTTAATGCAACAGACTTAGACGAGGGGTCAAATTCTGACATAACATACTCATACAGTTTATATACGTCAGAGAAAACACAAGAAACATTTCATCTGAATCCTTCCACTGGTGAAATTACTGTTAAAGGAATGTTAAATTATGAAGATTTCAAGATTTATGATATGGAAATTATAGCAACAGATAAAGGAGCCAATAGTTTATCAGGACAATGTACCATAAAGATTCTGGTTGAAGACATGAACGACAACCACCCAGAAATATCTATTAAATCATTTCAGAGCCCAGTCAATGAAAACATAGAATTAGACACAGTGATAGCAGTAGTTAGTGTCAGTGACAAAGACTCAGGAGACAATGGAGTGGTTGATCTTCATATTCCAGATAATATACCTTTCAAACTGAGGGAATCCTCTGATAACTATTATGAATTAGTAGTGTCAGAGCCATTAGACCGTGAGAAGGTTCCTGAATATGACATCACGTTCACTGTTACAGACAGAGGTTCTCCTCCTTTATCTGACAATGAAACTATGACATTAGAACTGCTGGATGTTAATGACAATGTTCCACAGTTCCCTCTGTCATTTTATACTATACGTGTAATGGAGAATAACGCACCTGGGGCCCTGCTCAGTTCCCCCACTGCCTTTGACCCTGACCTCCATGAAAACCAGTATCTAGTTTATTTCATCCTAGAGAAGGAGATAGCCAACACCTCCATGTCCATGCTGTTCTCCATCAATCCAGAGAACGGAAATCTTTACGCACTGAAAACTTTTGACTATGAGATTGAGAAGGAGTTTCTTTTCCACATCGAGGCCAGAGACTCTGGCTCTCCTCCACTCAGCAGTAACGTGACGGTCCACATCATCATAGTGGACCAGAACGACAACGCTCCGGTTATTGTCTCTCCGTGGCGCGCCCACGGCTCTGTGGTGGAGGAAAAGATCCCCAGATCCACAGATAAAGGCTCTCTGGTTTCCAAGGTGATAGCCTTAGACACCGACTCGGTGCACAACTCTCGGATTACCTACCAGTTTCTCCAGGTGACTGACGCCACCTTGTTCAGTCTGGACCAATACAACGGAGAGATCCGGACTATGAGGATGTTCAGTTACAGAGATCCGCGTCACCAGCGACTGGTTGTTATTGCCAAGGACAACGGGGACCCTGCTCTCTCTGCTACAGTCACCATCAAGCTGTCCACAGTGGAGACTGCTGTTAAGGCCTACTCTGACATGACTGAGGTGCCTCTAGAATACGACATCTTTTCAGACCTGAACCTGTATTTGGTCATCGGTCTGGGCTCGGTGTCATTTCTCCTGCTGATCACCATATTGGTCACCATCGTGCTCAAGTGTCAGAAACCCAAACCCAGCAAGGCGGCTCCTCCCTGCAGGAACAGTGTGATCAGTGAGAGGAACTCCACCATCGCTGACTCCACTCTGGTCTCCAACGATGCCTACTGGTACAGTCTGTTTCTAGCAGAGACCAGGAAAGGAAAGCTGGTGGTTAGACAGCCTGTGCCAAAGGGCTCCAGATACATCGTGTCAAGTATACCAAGAGGCACAGGACTGACTGACACTAGTGACTCAGCAGCTTCCACTCTGCAGGTATGAAAAAATACCAATTAAATATCTGATTGACAAAGATATTCCCCAAGCACATCCATCAAAAATAGCCATACATAAATGTGGGAATCATAGAATGTCTTAACAGTTCCCGTTTGGTCCTTGCAAAATTGAAGATTCTGACTTCATATTCTTTTCCGGACCTACACTTTAAGTATGTGTACGCCATAGATACCAAACTCTTAAAACTACCATCTTCATACAGGCAGCAAAGTTTACATCCAGATCTCATTTAAATTTCAACACCATCCATGGTAACACTTTTTTGTGAGGGTACATGAATTATCATGACTTCATACATGGCTTCATGTATGAAAAAGGGTGAATTCATACATGTTATACTTCATGAACTGCCAGGAAAATGAACAGTATTCCATGAAATAACAATATGTTGATTAATACAACGACTAAGTTAATTCAATCATTATGATTTCTGATTGATCAATTATTTTAATATCTTCTCCACATGCAAGTCTATAAAACTGACCAGTTACAGCAGTGCATGTGTATTTTATTGTATTTGAAGTGCTGTAATCAAGATTAACTGAGAAGCAATCTTTCATTACCTCATCATGTCTGTGGCCCTCAATTAAAGTGGTGACCTGGTCTGTCTTCGAGACTGATCAACAATGTATGATTCATTTATTATTATTATTATTATTATTATTATTATTATTATTATTATTATTATTATTATTATTACTACAACAACAACAAATTATTTGACAATAAATTGCAGGGGTACATACATTCCAACTGAGGAAAAAAAAAAAATTTAATACATTTAACTTAATATTCTACTTTTGGGCATTTTACCCAGGCATTACTGTTGAAGTGACCTTTTACTTCTTTGTGAATAAAGCAAATATAGAAAGATCTTATACTTCTGATCTATTGTACATTTTGTGCAAATTCAGTGACCTTAGTATCATTTTCCCAAACCAATCCATTACTGCTTAATAACTTTACTTTTATGGCACCATTAATATGTTATTCATCAGTTTTAAAGACGAGCCAGGTCAGCACTTTATTTGAAGTTACATAAACATGATGAAGTCATGGAAAAGTAATACTTAGGTAATCATGATTACAACACTTGGAATTCAACAGAATGCATATGCACTACTGTGATTAGTCCGTTTTTTTGGCCTGTCTCTTTAACTGCAGACCTACCTATTAAGGATAAATTAATATCTTATTAGCTCAGAAATAATGATTCTTGAAAATAAGGTATTTTTTTTTGCATTAAGTCACTCATGAGATACTGTTCATTCTTATACATTCCTGATAGTTAATGAAGTCTGAATTCATTCTTTTCCATGCATGAAGTCATGATAATTTATGTACCCTTACAATAAAGTGCTACCTAACTCCTTAATTCTTCTAACATTAGATACATCACTGCATATTTGCAATTCATGCCCCTTCCATAAATCTGTTCTTCTCTCACACGGTAGGTAGGCAAAGCTTAAATTCGATACTGCATAGGTCATGAGTCAACTGTGTGCTGCATGTGCTTACATAACTCACGCGAAAATCGATTAGAATAAAGCCCTACGCGTGATAACTAACCTTCTTCTTTTTAAAAAAAAATTGCTTACCATTTTGGAATGGTTTTACGCACACAAATCGGCGCGTAAAAGTCAAACACATCATGTATTTGCAATGATAGAATAGTATGTAGAATGTGTGAAATTAAAATATAACTGAATAATATTTAATTTAAATACTTTTAAAAACAATACAAATAAATAAATAAAACTTGGAGCTGTTGCCCGAAAACAACTTGAAAACTTGAGATCATAAACCAGTAAAAAACAGGCCAAATGTATGATTTTAATTTTACCTTAAACTAAATTTCAAATTTAACTCACTATTTATCTTTGTCTAACGAAACCTTGACACCACCGATATTTTACAATGTGCTACGGTCCCTGAAGGACTATTCACGTCGCTGCTCTCCACAAAAACGTACTCACTGGTGAAGTCATCGTTCTCCCGTTAATTCATTGGACGCTGGGCGGGCAGACATATTCAACGCAAACCTCTGCTGATACCAGCATAAAGAAACGTTTTCTTTTAAGACCGTCGACTTTGATCATTGAATAAAAGGACGGTTTCTCTTTTTTTCTGCTACAACATTACATTCAAAGGCTTTAAATACGGATTCTATTAATGGCTCGTCAACTTCGACAGTATTCCCGGAGAGGGTACGTTTCAATATTTCTCTTTCTTTCTGCCATCATGAACACGGCATACACCGTCACCCATTATTCTGTTCCCGAAGAAATGGAGGAAGGATCTGTTGTTGCAAATTTAGCAACTGATTTGGGATTAGACGTGAAGACTCTGAATAAAAGGAAAATGCGCATCGACGTTGTGGGCAATAAGAAATATCTTGATATCAACAAAGACACAGGAGAGCTGTTCATTTTGGAAAAGATAGACAGAGAGTTTTTATGCCCTTTGAAGACTACATCGTGCTTTCTCCGATTAGACGCTACGATTGAAAATCCAATACGAATGTTTAATATTGAGGTGGAAATAACGGATATTAACGACAACGCTCCCCATTTTCGACGAGGAACGATGTATTTGGACATCTCTGAATCAAGCCCCGTTGGAGAAAGATTCTCATTGAATAATGCTGCAGACCCAGATGTTGGAACAAATTCTGTGAAAAATTACCACCTGAGCTCAAGTGAACATTTCTCTATTGAAATTCAGACCGGAAGAGACGGAACAAAGTTTGCAGATTTGATTTTAAAGAAAGCTCTAGACAGAGAGCAGCAGGCTGTTCATAATCTAATACTGACTGCAGTGGACGGCGGAGTGCCCACGCGCACAGGTACAGCCAGCATCGTTGTTCGCGTGCTTGATGTGAACGACAACGCCCCTTCATTTAATGAAGACAAATATGTCGTAGATGTGATGGAAAATTCCCCGATTGGCAGTCTAGTAATCAAACTAAACGCCACAGATTCAGATGAAGGGTCTAATTCTGATATTGTTTATTCATATAGTTTGTATACATCAGAGAGAACGCAACAGGTGTTTAATCTGAATCCAGAAAATGGTGAAATTAGAGTGAAAGAGATGATAAATTATGAGGATATTAAGCTTTTTGAAATGGAAGTTATTGCAAGTGATAAGGGGCCTAACTCCTTATCTGGACAGTGTAAACTCACAATACAGGTGACAGATATGAATGACAATCATCCAGAAATATCAATTAAATCATTTCAAAGTCCGATTAAAGAAAATGAACCAATAGACACAGTGATAGCAGTAGTAAGTGTCAGTGACAAAGACTCAGGAGACAATGGAGTGGTTGATCTTCATATTCCAGATAATATGCCTTTCAAACTGAGGGAATCCTCTGATAACTATTATGAATTAATAGTGTCAGAGCCTTTAGACCGTGAGAAGGTCCCAGAATATGACATCACGTTCACTGTTACAGACAGAGGTTCTCCTCCTTTATCTGACAATGAAACTATGACGTTAGAACTGCTGGATGTTAATGACAATGTTCCACAGTTCCCACTGTCATTTTATACTATACGTGTGATGGAGAATAACGCACCTGGGGCCTTGCTCAGTTCCCTGACTGCGTTTGACCCTGACCTCCATGAAAACCAGTATCTAGTTTATTTCATCCTAGAGAAGGAGATAGCCAACACCTCCATGTCCATGCTGTTCTCCATCAATCCAGAGAACGGTAATCTTTACGCACTGAAAACGTTTGACTATGAGATTGAGAAGGAGTTTCTTTTCCACATCGAGGCCAGAGACTCTGGCTCTCCTCCACTCAGCAGTAACGTGACGGTCCACATCATCATAGTGGATCAGAACGACAACGCTCCAGTTATTGTCTCTCCGTGGCGCGCACACGGCTCTTTGGTGGAGGAAAAGATCCCCAGATCCACAGATAAAGGCTCTCTTGTTTCCAAGGTGATAGCCTTAGACACCGACTCGGTGCACAACTCTCGGATTACCTACCAGTTTCTCCAGGTGACTGACGCCACTTTGTTCAGTCTGGACCAATACAACGGAGAGATCCGGACTATGAGGATGTTCAGTTACAGAGATCCGCGTCACCAGCGACTGGTTGTTATTGCCAAGGACAACGGGGACCCTGCTCTCTCTGCCACAGTCACCATCAAGCTGTCCACAGTGGAGACTGCTGTTAAGGCCTACTCTGACATGACTGAGGTGCCTCTAGAATACGACATCTTTTCAGACCTGAACCTGTATTTGGTCATCGGTCTGGGCTCGGTGTCATTTCTCCTGCTGATCACCATATTGGTCACCATCGTGCTCAAGTGTCAGAAACCCAAACCCAGCAAGGCGGCTCCTCCCTGCAGGAACAGTGTGATCAGTGAGAGGAACTCCACAATCGCAGACTCCACTCTGGTCTCCAACGATGCCTACTGGTACAGTCTGTTTCTAGCAGAGACCAGGAAAGGAAAGCTGGTGGTTAGACAGCCTGTGCCAAAGGGCTCCAGATACATCGTGTCCAGTATACCAAGAGGCACAGGACTGACTGACACTAGTGACTCAGCAGCTTCCACCCTGCAGGTATGGGACAAAACACCTATTTAACTTGTGACACATGCAGATATACTTAGTGATTATTCGTCAAGTTCACTCATAAGTTACCACGGCAGTCATGGCCTTGTTCTTATGATATAACTTGAGCATTTGTAGTCTCCTCTAACCGTGCAACACAAGTAAAAATGTAATTGTTGCCATAAACAATGTGATGTCTTACTACACTCACTGGCAGCTATTTTTTTTTCTAATTTCATAAACTTCATTATCTAATTTGGTAAATAATATATACTCTCCTTTTCTTTGTTATTTCAGCCTGGATATTTCAGCATACATTAGGTAGTGGGAGATTAAATTAGACGAGATGGAGGCATAATGAAATTGTATTAAGTAAAAATTAACTTTCAGACGCAATTATTAATGATACACAAACCGAGACATTTATTTAATCACGTTTGGCATTGTTTTTACGCACAGACTACCGTGCGTAAAAATGCGCACATTACAGAAAGAAGATACCGTGATATAAACTCTTTGCATTTACAATCACCGTGTAGACGCGTGACAACAAACAAACAAATAAAACGTTCGTAATAAAATGTAAATATATAATTAAGGGAATGTGAATGTTACTTAACAGGTTTTCAGTTTTCCACGTCTTAACCAAGGAATAACACTTTAAAAGTCAGAGTTGAACACGTCGCCAAAAGACATTTCCAGCTTCTTAAACTGTGATTAAAATTCACTCGCGCTCTGCCTTCGTCTAAAACAACATCATTTTTTTTTTCAGTTGCAAAGGCACACATAAGACTACTTTCGTCGCTGCTCTCCAAGAAAACACGCTCACTGATGAGGTCATCGTTCTCGCGATAGTTTATTGGAGGAAGGACAGTCAGAAATATTATGCCATGGGCGTCTAAGCATGAAGGAGCGTTTTCTTGTACGATCCTCGTCTCGTTTGTTCACTCACCAAGAGAGCGGGTTATCCGCGTTTCAGCAACTTCCAAGTCTTTAAATACGGAATCTGTACGATGGCGCATCACATCCGACTATTGTTCGCCAGAGGGTACGTTTCAATATTTCTCTTTCTTTCTGCCATCATGAACACGGCATACACCGTCACCCATTATTCTGTTCCCGAAGAAATGGAGGAAGGATCTGTTGTTGCAAATTTGGCAACTGATTTGGGATTAGACGTGAAGACTCTGAATAAAAGGAAAATGCGCATCGACGTTGTGGGCAATAAGAAATACCTTGATATCAACAAAGACACAGGAGAGCTGTTCATTTTGGAAAGGATAGACAGAGAATTGCTGTGCCCCTTAAAAACCACTACATACTGCTTTCTAAAGTTGGACGCTACGATTGAAAATCCAATACGAATGTTTAATATTGAGGTTGAAATTATGGATATTAATGATAACGCTCCTCATTTTCGACGAGGAACGATGCATTTGGACATCTCTGAATCAAGCCCCGTTGGAGAAAGATTCTCATTGAATAATGCTGCAGACCCAGATGTTGGAACAAATTCTGTGAAAGATTACCACCTGAGCTCAAGTGAACATTTCTCTATTGAAATTCAGACCGGAAGAGACGGGTCAAAGTTTGCAGATTTGATTTTAAAGAAAGCTCTAGACAGAGAGCAGCAGGCTGTTCATAATCTAATACTGACTGCAGTGGACGGCGGAGTGCCCACGCGCACAGGTACAGCCAGCATCGTTGTTCGCGTGCTTGATGTGAACGACAACGCCCCTTCATTTAATGAAGACAAATATGTCGTAGATGTGATGGAAAACTCCCCGATTGGCAGTCTAGTAATCAAACTAAACGCCACAGATTCAGATGAAGGGTCTAATTCTGATATTGTTTATTCATATAGTTTGTATACATCAGAGAGAACGCAACAGGTGTTTAATCTGAATCCAGAAAATGGTGAAATTAGAGTGAAAGAGATGATAAATTATGAGAATATTAAGCTTTTCGAAATGGAAGTTATTGCAAGTGATAAGGGGCCTAACTCCTTATCTGGACAGTGTAAACTCACAATACAGGTGACAGATATGAATGACAATCATCCAGAAATATCAATTAAATCATTTCAAAGTCCGATTAAAGAAAATGAACCAATAGACACAGTGATAGCAGTAGTAAGTGTCAGTGACAAAGACTCAGGAGACAATGGAGTGGTTGATCTTCATATTCCAGATAATATGCCTTTCAAACTGAGGGAATCCTCTGATAACTATTATGAATTAGTAGTGTCAGAGCCGCTAGACCGTGAGAAGGTTCCTGAATATGACATCACGTTCACTGTTACAGACAGAGGTTCTCCTCCTTTATCTGACAATGAAACTATGACGTTAGAACTGCTGGATGTTAATGACAATGTTCCACAGTTCCCTACTGTCATTTTATACTATACGTGTAATGGAGAATAACGCACCTGGGGCCTTGCTCAGTTCCCTGACTGCCTTTGACCCTGACCTCCATGAAAACCAGTATCTAGTTTATTTCATCCTAGAGAAGGAGATAGCCAACACCTCCATGTCCATGTTGTTCTCCATCAATCCAGAGAACGGTAATCTTTACGCACTGAAAACGTTTGACTATGAGATCGAGAAGGAGTTTCTTTTCCACATTGAGGCCAGAGACTCTGGCTCTCCTCCACTCAGCAGTAACGTGACGGTCCACATCATCATAGTGGACCAGAACGACAACGCTCCGGTTATTGTCTCTCCGTGGCGCGCCCACGGCTCTGTGGTGGAGGAAAAGATCCCCAGATCCACCGATAAAGGCTCTCTGGTTTCCAAGGTGATAGCCTTAGACACCGACTCGGTGCACAACTCTCGGATTACCTACCAGTTTCTCCAGGTGACTGACGCCACCTTGTTCAGTCTGGACCAATACAACGGAGAGATCCGAACTATGAGGATGTTCAGTTACAGAGATCCGCGTCACCAGCGACTGGTTGTTATTGCCAAGGACAACGGGGACCCTGCTCTCTCTGCTACAGTCACCATCAAGCTGTCCACAATGGAGACTGTTGTTAAGGCCTACTCTGACATGACTGAGGTGCCTCTAGAATACGACATCTTTTCAGACCTGAACCTGTACTTGGTCATCGGTCTGGGCTCGGTGTCATTTCTCCTGCTGATCACCATATTGGTCACCATCGTGCTCAAGTGTCAGAAACCCAAACCCAGCAAGGCGGCTCCTCCCTGCAGGAACAGTGTGATCAGTGAGAGGAACTCCACCATCGCAGACTCCACTCTGGTCTCCAACGATGCCTACTGGTACAGTCTGTTTCTAGCAGAGACCAGGAAAGGAAAGCTGGTGGTTAGACAGCCTGTGCCAAAGGGCTCCAGATACATCGTGTCCAGTATACCAAGAGGCACAGGACTGACAGACACTAGTGACTCAGCACCTTCCACCCTGCAGGTATGGGACAAAACACCTATTTAACTTGTGACACATGCAGATATACTTAGTGAATATCCATCAAGTTCACTCATAAGTTACCACGGCAGTCATGGCCTTGTTCTTATAATATAACTTGAGCATTTGTAGTCTCCTCTAACCGTGCAACACAAGTAAAAATGTAATTGTTGCCATAAACAACGTGATGTCTTACTACACTCACTGGCAGCTATTTTTTTTCTAATTTCATAAACTTCATTATCTAATTTGGTAAATAATATATACTCTCCTAAATAGATTTGCTTTGTTATTTCAGCCTGGATATTTCAGAATACATCAGGTAGTGGGAGGAGAAATTAGACGAGATGTGGGCATAATGACATTGTATTAAGTAAAAATTAACTTTCAGACGCAATTATTAATGATACACAAACCGAGACATTTATTTAATCATGTTTGGCATTGTTTTTACGCACAGACTACCGTGCGTAAAAATGCGCACATTACAGAAAGAAGATACCGTGATATAAACTCTTTGCATTTACAATCACCGTGTAGACGCGTGACAACAAACAAACAAATAAAACGTTCGTAATAAAATGTAAATATATAATTAAGGGAATGTGAATGTTACTTAACAGGTTTTCAGTTTTCCACGTCTTAACCAAGGAATAACACTTTAAAAGTCAGAGTTGAACACGTCGCCAAAAGACATTTCCAGCTTCTTAAACTGTGATTAAAATTCACTCGCGCTCTGCCTTCGTCTAAAACAACATACATTTTTTTTCAGTTGCAAAGGCACACATAAGACTACTTTCGTCGCTGCTCTCCAAGAAAACACGCTCACTGATGAGGTCATCGTTCTCGCGATAGTTTATTGGAGGAAGGACAGTCAGAAATATTATGCCATGGGCGTCTAAACATGAAGGAGCGTTTTCTTGTACGATCCTCGTCTCGTTTGTTCACTCACCAAGAGAGCGGGTTATCCGCGTTTCAGCAACTTCCAAGTCTTTAAATACGGAATCTGTACGATGGCGCATCACATCCGATTATTGTTCGCCAGAGGGTACGTTTCAATATTTCTCTTTCTTTCTGCCATCATAAACACGGCATACTCCGTCACCCATTATTCTGTTCCCGAAGAAATGGAGGAAGGATCTGCTGTTGCAAATTTGGCAACTGATTTGGGATTAGACGTGAAGACTCTGAATAAAAGGAAAATGCGCATCGACGTTGTAGCCAATAAAAAATACCTTGATATCAACAAAGACACAGGAGAGCTGTTCATTTTGGAAAGGATAGACAGAGAGTTCCTTTGCCCTTCGAAAACAACTACATCCTGCTTTCTTAAATTAGACGCTACGATTGAAAATCCAATACGAATGTTTAATATTGAGGTGGAAATAACGGATATTAACGACAACGCTCCTCATTTTCGACGAGGAACGATGCATTTGGACATCTCTGAATCAAGCCCCGTTGGAGAAAGATTCTCATTGAATAATGCTGCAGACCCAGATGTTGGAACAAATTCTGTGAAAGATTACCACCTGAGCTCAAGTGAACATTTTGCACTCGAAATTCAGACCGGAAGAGACGGAACAAAGTTTGCAGATTTGATTTTAAAGAAA